TTGGAAGTTTTCCCAAAATCTATAGCCCACCCCTCTTCAGCAATACTGAAAGTTCAAATCTATTCAATTGCACAGTTATGATAGGCCAAGATTACTGGGGGCTGACAGTGCTTAGAGTGCCCCCTTAAGATTAAGGAGAACCAATGAGTTTATATGAACTTCCAACGTCCCACTGCCAGAATCAATGCTGAGTTACAACAGAGTTCCGCTGATTAAAGTTCCAGGCGTGGACAACATGCCCACTGTACCTTGAGGGGTATCAGCTACAACTCACTGATGAGCCCCAAAGAAGGACGAAATGATCGTCTGGGGTGGCTGTATCTCTCGTGCAGAGAGAATTTACTGACAAGTTCTGTGCTGGCCTTACGAGTGGGATTAGTCTGATATTATTCGGAATATGTTCTCTCTGTAATGGCACAAGGTAGCAAAAACTATTTTGAGACCTCAAAGTTCTCATATTCTCTGTTTTTGTTTGATTAATGTTCTACCATACCATCAGCGAAAATATCTTTATTCAGTTCGTTCTGAGGGTGTTATAATAGTTCCCAATGTTTCCACCATAAACCAACATTGACTGTTTTATTGCTTCAAATAAATAACTAATTCCATGCAAACGACGCGACAATATGTTTTTCTGGCCCATGGAAGCGTTAAAAACTTAGCAGGTGCTCACAGCGCCCATGCTGGCAAACATCGGAAGAGCGTTATTGGCGTGTAATATCTTGAAAAGATTTAATTCTATCAATGATCTTCTACATCATTCTGCTGGGGATGTGTAGAATTTAAATTACTCGGAAGCTAAACTCTGGATTGAAATGTTTCAGAAAAAATTAAAGTAATGCTCTGGACCTTTCATTTTCTTTTTTAATGCAAAAACAGGAAACACGTTTTTCGCCTCTTGAACCTTCCGTCCCTTTTAACATTAAATTAATTTATAAATGTAGTATGATTTTTGTTTTTAGTAATTTATTAATGACACATAGAGAGAGACTACATTAGGAAGAGATTAATAATACCACTATGTCTCATTTATCACATTAAAGAAACATTCTGTGCACCATAACAACGTCATCTCAATGTTATTTTGGTACCTGGAGGTTCCTCTGAAAAGTCTTAATTTAGAAAAATTTTCTCAATCAGTTGAGCACTAAAGAAATATTCCAGGTGCTTGGCTCTCCTCTACTGTGGAAGCATTAGCAGAAACAGTGAGGAGGTAACAGTGACTGGCAGAGAACATTCGCTGCCGCTCTCATCCTATCACTGGTGAACCATCATGCCACCTCTCCTGCAGCTGGTGCTTATGCATTAGTCCGAGCAGCAAAGTTACATTAAAGACTAGTGCCTTCCGATCCATCTTTAGTGTTAAACCATTCAAGAACAGTTTAACACTTAAAGGGACAATATAGTCACCAAAACAACTTAAGCTTAATGAAGCAGCTTTGGTGTAGATTATGCCCCTGCAGCCTCGCTGCTCAATTCTCTGCCATTTAGGAGTTAAATCCCTTTGTTTCTGTTTATACAGCCCACAGCCCTGGTTGTGACTGACACAACCTGCATGACAGCAAAATGGTTCATTTTCAAACAGATGTAACTAACTAAAAGTTTTTATCTCCTGCTCTGTAAATTGAACTTTAATTACATACAGGATCCTCCTGCTGAGTCTAGCAAGCTAGTAACAACAGGAGATAAAAACTGAATTTGCAATAAAAGAAGTGTAAAAATTAGATGACTCTTCAGAGGAAGTGTTTAGGAAGGCTGTGTAAGTCAAATGCAGGGAGGTGTGCCTAGTGCTGCATAAACAAAGTAATTTAACTCCTAAACACCGAGAATTGAGCAGTGAGACTGCACGGACATGATCTATACACCAAAACTGCTTTATTAAGCTAAAGTTGTTGTGGTAACTATAGTGTTTTTAAAGTTAAGAATAACTTTGCGTCAACGCCTTTCTAATTGAGCATTGAGAGGAGCACTGTTTGGAGTTCTCGCTCAACCTGGATAACACTAGGTCATCAAAAGTTTGTTTTGATTTTTTTGTTTTTTGTTTTAATAATAATAACATTTGCAAATAATCATATTTTGACTTTAGATGCCACTTATGAGCAATAGACTCTCAATGCACCAGCAACGTTCCTCTACCCCTCAACCCAAACTCCACCGCAGTGCCATGTTTCTCTTATACCTCGGAGGGGTAGAAATAAATAATTAATGATTTATACTTTGCTAAGCACATCTGGAGACCATCTGGACATTCATTTTCACCTAGCACAAAAATGCATTCCTCTCAAAATTCAAGCAGTGTTTCCTCTATCTCCTTGCAAAGCCCAGCGGAAATAAAACATCACTCTAAATTATTTATACCCCACACTTGTCAATTCTGCCTCATTGACCTCATTGACCTTTAACCTCAGTCTGTCCAGTGGATTCACATTTTACCAGTTAATGTTTAATCTCATGGAGTGTAAGACTTACAAATGCTGCATTGGACACTCTGTATTTATATTTCCTGTTCACTTCTTGAAGAAGTACCGATATGGCTGTTCGGCAGGATTGTCCTGACAACAGTTGACCATTAACCCCCCACAAGTAAAAACATATCCCATGATTTCTACCTTTTAATTCCCATTTACAGAGTTTGCAACGTACCCCAGAGTTGTAAAATATCCAGGTAAAATCCCAGTATTCTAAAAATGCCCATTTAGAGACTTACTTAAGTCAGCTGTCTGCTAAAATTATATAAAATGCCTGAATTTCATACAAAAGATAAAGAAAATTCATGCCAATGATTCCTGTTAGAAACATAGAAACATAGAATGTGACGACAGATAAGAACCATTCGGCCCATCTAGTCTGCCCAATTTTCTAAATACTTTCTTTAGTCCCTAGCCTTATCTTATAGTTAGGATAGCCTTATGCCTATCCCACGCATGTTTAAACTCCTTTACTGTGTTAACCTCTACCACTTCAGCTGGAAGGCTATTCCATGCATCCACTACCCTCTCAGTAAAGTAATACTTCCTGATATTATTTTTAAACCTTTGTCCCTCTAATTTAAGACTATGTCCTCTTGTTGTGGTAGTTTTTCTTCTTTTAAATATAGTCTCCTCCTTTACTGTGTTGATTCCCTTTATATATTTAAATGTTTCTATCATATCCCCCCTGTCTCGTCTTTCCTCCAAGCTATACATGTTAAGATCCTTTAACCTTTCCTGGTAAGTTTTATCCCGCAATCCATGAACCAGTTTAGTAGCCCTTCTGAACCCTCTCTAAGGTATCAATATCCTTCTGAAGATACGGTCTCCAGTACTGTGTACAATACTCCAAGTGAGGTCTGTACAATGGCATGAGCACTTCCCTCTTTCTACTGCTAATACCTCTCCCTATACAACCAAGCATTCTGCTAGTATTTCCTGCTGCTCTATTACATTGTCTGCCTACCTTTAAGTCATCAGAAATAATCACCCTAAATCCCTTTCCTCATATGTTGAGGTTAGGACTCTATCAAATATTCTGTACTCTGCCCTTGGGTTTTTACGTCCAAGATGCATTATCTTGCACTTATCCACATTAAATGTCAGTTGCCACAATTCTGACCATTTTTCTGTTTATATAGTTGTATATACATCCATTGTAATATTTTATCCATCCATCACTTTAAGTGGCAGTGAATTTAATTGTATTACCAATTTTTATTCGATAGAGAACGCTTTTACCAGGTGAACTTGACAGACCCATGACACTAAATCAGGATTGAGCATTGAATGATTTATTAACTAATTCTTACCGATACCCAGTTTATATATTCATTCAGTATTTCTTTATCAGGCTCTGCCTCTTCTGCCCAATCCCTCTCTGTTGGTGTTCCCCAAGGGTCTGTCCTTGGTCCCCTATTGTTCTCAATCTACACTTGGTAAACTCATCAGCTCCTTCGGCTTTCAGTATAATTTCTATGCGGATGACAAGCAAACGTATCTGTCCTCCCCTAATTTCTCACCACCCCACTTGACTCGTGTCTCTGACTGCCTCTCTGCTATTTCCAACTGGATGGCTGCTAAATTCCTTAAACTGAACATGTCCAAAACAGAATGTCTGGTCTTTTTACTTCCTTTTCTGTGTCCCTCCAAGTCAATGGCGCTACCATCCACTCTACCTTTAAGGCCCGCTGCCCAGGTGTTCTCTTTCACTCTGACCTCTCCTTCACCCCTCATGTCCAATCAATCGCCAAATCCTGCCTCTTCCATTGCAAAAATAATCCACGCTTTCAACCCTATTTAACACCTGATACTGCAAAGGTACTTGTCCATGCCGCTGTCCTCTTTCGCCTTGACTACTGTAATCCGCTTCTCAGTGGTCTTACGTGTTCCCAACTTGCCCCGTTACAGTCTATAATGAATTCGACTCTTCCCTCCTTTGTCAGTCCCTACATTGGCTTCCCGTAAGATATAGGACTCAATTTAAGATCATGTCATTTGCTTACAAATCTCTACACAATGCTGCTCTGACCTACCTATTCTCACAAATACACAAATATGTCCCATCTAGGCCCCTACGCTCTGCTGGAGACCTACGTCTAACCTCTGTTCGTACTCCTACCTCTGATGCTCACCTTAAAGACTTCTCTAGGGCTGCACCGTTCCTATGGAACGCCCTTCCCCTCTCTGTTAGACTTTCACCCAATCTCCACTCCTTCAAAAAAATCTTTGAAAACTTACATCTTTAGGAAAGCATATCAATTAAACTGTGAACAGCTTTGCCTCCCCGCACCCCGATTCCTCTCCTGAAACTTTCATTTAAAGTACTATCCTAGCAACTTACTTTTCTACCCCTACCCTTACCTTTTGTGTCACTATACTTCACTCCCTCTGGCATTTAAGCTCATTGAGCATGGCCATCAACCCCTCTGTTACTGTGTCACTATACCCCACTCCCTCTAACATGTAAGCTCATTGAGCAGGGCCTTCAATCCCTCTGTTAGTGTGTCACTATACACCACTCCCTCTAACATGTAAACTCACTGAGCAGGGCCCTCAATCCCTCTGTTACTGTGTCACTATACCCCACTCCCTCTAACATGTAAACTCACTGAGCAGGCCCTCAATCCCTCTGTTACAGTGTCACTATACCCCACTCCCTCTAACATGTAAACTCACTGAGCAGGGCCTTAATCCCTCTGTTACTGTGTCACTATACCCCACTCCCTCTAACATGTAAACTCACTGAGCAGGGTTCTCAATCCCTCTGTTACTGTGTCACTATACCCACTCTAGCATGTAAACTCACTGAGCAGGCCCTCAATCCCTCTGTTACTGTGTCACTATACCCCACTCCCTCTAACATGTAAACTCACTGAGCAGGCCCTCAATCCCTCTGTTACTGTGTCACTATACCCCACTCCCTCTAACATGTAAGCTCACTGAGCAGGCCCTCAATCCCTCTGTTACTGTGTCACTAAACCCCACTCCCTCTAACATGTAAACTCACTGAGCAGGGTTCTCAATCCCTCTGTTACTGTGTCACTATACCCAACTCCCTCTAACATGTAAACTCACTGAGCAGGGTTCTCAATCCCTCTGTTACTGTGTCACTATACCCCACTCCCTCTAACATGTAAACTCACTGAGCAGGGTTCTCAATCCCTCTGTTACTGTGTCACTATACCCCACTCCCTCTAACATGTAAACTCACTGAGCATGCCCTCAATCCCTCTGTTACTGTCACTATACCCCACTCCCTCTAACATGTAAACTCACTGAGCAGGGTTCTCAATCCCTCTGTTACTGTGTCACTATACCCCACTCCCTCTAACATGTAAACTCACTGAGCAGGGTTCTCAATCCCTCTGTTACTGTGTCACTATACCCCACTCCCTCTAACATGTAAGCTCACTGAGCAGGGTCGTCAATCCCTCTGTTCCTGTGCATCCAACTTGTCTGGTTACAAATACGTGTCTGTTAGTCCACCCATTGTACAGCTCTACGGAACTTGTTGATGCTTTATAAATAATAATAATAATAATAATATTAATATAAATGAAAAGACCCATGTAACTTCTGAAGAAATTTTAACTTGCCATCAGTGTATTTATCAGCCCAAAGTTTTGGCAAGCCTTATACTATAAATAAGTTAAATAAAAAGTCAAGTGGGTTTAAACCTTCCACTAATTAATCTCTCATTCAAAGCTTCCAGTAATGACAGTCACTTTCACACCTTCCAATAGCAACTGTCTATTTTAAACCTTCCTATAATAGATATCTCCATCAAATGTCCCAATAATGACCATCTCAATCAAACCTTCTCCTCCAAACTCCTCAAATAATGATCATTTCATTCAAAGCTACATTAGTAGCTGCCTTTTTCACACCTTCCTTTTTCAGAGCTTCCAATTGTGACTGTTTATTTCAGCCCTTCCAACATGACCACCTCTTTCAAAGCCTCTAATAATGTTTATCTTATTTAAACATTCTAATCTGAACTTTCTAACAATGCCCATCAATGATTATTCGATTCTTATTGGCAGCCAATAGTAAAGTCTGGTTTCCCATAATCGTTACGTCATTTCCTGGTTTTCCATTTATTTTGGGATCCCTGATTTTAAATATATCCCCCAACTGCTAATGGCCTCACCACAACTCTACCACATTCCTCCTTTAGAATGTTCACAATGTCCCTTTTTGGTGCAGTGGAAACATTTGAGAATTTAATTATGTTACACATATCAGTTACAGTCCTAGATGGAGAAGAATACATTTACAAGTAACTTACAAAAATTCAAATAAATGACAAATTTCCTTTAAATGCAGAAAACAAACAAAGAAATTATGCTGACTCTTAAATACACTCCTGGAGCACTAATTAGCCTGATGTGTCAAGGTGTCTTTGATATTGTTTGTAATGTTGGAAAAATCTCGGCCAAAAAAAACTTTATTTGAAATTAAATCTGTTTTCCTGGATCCAGGGAGCATTTCGTTTAAGAAATGCAAAAAGTTAAATTCGATTCAGCATTTTGACTTAAAAGAGGAATGAAATGAGATCTAGATTAGTTTAGCAGTACAAATAATAATAATAGTAAAAGGTTGGTTGGGTTTTCTCATTTAACTTGACATCCTTTGAAAACGTAACCCAAGAGTCTCTTGCATTGGAAGACTGGTTTCGATAGAGACTTCATTATCCTCACATTTATAAAGTCATGTAACGTTGTTATTCAAGCGACTGCGTAGCTCTAATAAAAGGTACTTAAACATCCATCGCCAGATTAATACGTAGCAGACTCATACTTTGGATGGTTTCGAAAATAAATTGCTTTACACAAATTTAGAATATTCTTTTTTTCTTCAAGGTCATGCAACAAGTTTATCGGGTTCAACTTGAAATGTTTGTTTTCTTAATGCTGTGAGTGTAATTGGAGGTGACGTAATCTTGAATCTGTTGTATGCTTACACGTTAAAAACATTAATGTCTCCACATTCACCATAAAGGGTCAGGTAATATCGCTTCCTGTCTCTAACAGAGGTGTGAATTGCCAAGAATTCAAAGTGTTTTCAAAATGAGTTTCAAATTAATAAAAATACTCTCCACGTCACTTATGCTTCCAGTTTCTTAGGGTTACTTTGGCCTTAAATTTGAAATTTACTTTAAATTTCTCATAATTCTCACATTAGTGAATAATAACCCTGACAATCTGGATTTCAGTCTCACATGGCAGATGAAGGGCCTCAAATGTCCAGTTTAGCAAAAACATTTCCAGGCTCTCCACAAAATCAAAAAATATTTTTTATAAATATTCTGAAGATTTTCTATTAACTATTTATTTAATCAGTTGTTCCTTCGTTATGTAAATGCAATAAATTCAATGCACTCAGTTTTAAGATGCTTTTTAAAGTGATAATCTAAGCACCAAAACCACTTCAGGCCTAGTTCTGGGACTGTTACTACTGTCCAAAGATGGAAAATGTTATCGCTAAGCTGTAAGTGTAAATTTCAAATCGAAACATGGCAAGCAAGCATCCTGCGAGGGAGACCCTTGAGCTTCAAACTGCTTGAAAATCAGTTCGACACAGAACCAACAAATAGCCCCCATAGCCTACAAGCACCATAACAACTACAGCAGTCCATATTAGTATATTTAATTTGAATATTTAACATCGTCTAAAGACACAACATTTTTAAGGAATGTTTTTAATTTTTAGATTACATAATTTACTGGCCTTTCAGTAAATAGCTCATTCTAATCCGCACAGACAATATTTATGTAATGCTAATATTGATCAATGAGCTGAGTCAATGGGAAGAAATTAAATGACATTTATGTCATGTTACAACAAAACATTCAATATATGTGATGCACGAATTTTCAATTCACAACACGCTAGCACAGAACTTGCTAAGGATCATTCTATCCGCGATTTATTACACAGATCTTTCCTGGGCCCGTTGGCGTGGATGGGATTATCTTGTCTGTTACATATATCTGTGGATTTGTGACAGGAACCTGAAGCTATAACGTTCACTTTGCTCAATGTTCAAAATGCAATGTAATTATATGACCAGCTTTCCCAAAGGAAATAGCACCTGGAAAAATCATATATTTGGGGTTTAAAGTTTCTTCGTGTACGTTGATATTTACAAAGCTACAACATGGAATAGATCTTATAAAATCTTCCATTAAATATATAAAGGATTCTAAATTTATTTTATGTCCTTGAGTTTATCCTAAAGAACAAATAAAAGAAATAAAGTCGAAAATTCATTATGTTCGCACTACACCAAATATTTTATTCTATTCTACAGGCACTGTTATGGGTATATGCAAATATTACAAGTTTTACAATGAAAAGTTGTATTTCTTAAACTGTGTACTTTGTCTTTAAGAGATTTAGCAAACTGACAAGGTGTTTGAAATGGAACATATTATTTTTCATACAATGTTTCTTTAATAAATTACCTCTTACCCATATTCAGTGAATATGGTGTTCAGACTTTAGGATACCATCTTGTCCTAGGTTAGTGTAATTCACCAAGTCAGGGAATTTCCCATGTCGTGTGCACCCTTACCTTTGAGTCTAGACATAGATAAGATGTTCCCATGTGAAATGACCAAGTTATGGCCTCATATCTTTGTCAAGTTAAGGTAGGTCCTAAAATGACCTAATTGAACATCTAAGGTATGAATATGTGTACTTATTAATATTAGGACAAAGAGAAGAGATCTTGGATACAGAGGCACTGCTCCATTTTATAATGACTGATAGAGGTTGATATGTTCAGGAGGGTATGTTATTCTATTTTACTGATATTGCAAGCATATACTTTAATCTTATAAACTCTTGTAATGGATTTTATATGTCTATATTTAATATGTATTTAATAAAATATTTAAAAGAAAAAACTTTATTGCTTCCAAGACAATCCTTATTTTATATTGTATTCTCAATTAATTAATTATATATATATATATATGTATATATATATATATATACATATATATATATATATATATATTATAATTTTATATATATATATATATATATATTTAATTATATATTTTAAATAGAGGAACTCTTACTAACTATAAAATACTATCTCTAAAGATATCTGCATGGTTAGTCCTGCTATATTCTATGCTTTAACACGTTATTGGGGTAAATAGGGGAACCGGCTGCGGTTACAGCACAGTCCCTGTTTCTGTGGTTTCCCTATTTTCACAACATATAAAAAACTTTAAAGGGACACTGTAGGCACCCAAGCCACTTTGGCTCATTGAAGTGGTCTGGGTGCTGTGACCCTTTTGCACTTAGTGCTGCATTTGCATTGCAGCACTAAGTCTGCCTCCAGTGGCTGCCTTCCAGACAGCCACTGGGGGTCTTCCGGATTTGTAACTGACTTTTTGTCCATTATCTGATGATGGACGTCCTTGAATTATCGTTACTTTAGGAGGGACAACACATCCACATTTGCCTTAACACATAGAGTGTTTTAAAATGTGATACCGTTCTTAATTAAAGCAACATATTTGTACACAATTAAGATTAATGTATCATTGGATATTCCTATTTAAAATGTTTATATTGTCGTTATTGCTCATCATATCAGAGGTACAGTGAGTCTTTGTGGGCTTGAACATGTCAATTAAAATGCTTCACTAATTAAAAGTTAAATATATAATTGATTTATTCCAGTAAACATATGTTACGGCATATGGCTGAAGGAGCAAATATAGTTTAACACGAAATTGTTT